CAAGCGCCCAAGCATTGTAGAAAAAAAAGGAAAAGCAAAAAACAACGAAAAGACAAACAAAAAGATGCGGCGAGAATCTCAGACCTCAAAAATACGCTCTGATTGACAAAAGCTGAAAGCTGCATCTGTTACGAACAAAATAAACAAAACCAAATGACTCATGTTGGTTCATCAAACGTAAATGTAAAGAGAGATTGGCGAAAAATAAAATAATTGGGTATAGTTACGAAATCTGCTGGAAGGTGGTTCCAGTCGTGGGATGTATGCGGGACAAATTAATAAAAAAGGTGTTCGTTTGGCAACGTGTTAATCCAACATTATTCTGATGGTCCACATGGGAAGAGTTAGAGTTAGGCAATGTAAAAAAATTGTCTCGTAACGACTGATGATGATACACTTTATGAAACAGGAAAAGTCGAAAAAACTTTCTATGCAATGACAAACAAGGAAACAACAAACTGGACTTCATTGATGATATGCTGGCTGTTCGATTGTAATTAGACAGAATGAAACGAACGGCGTTTTTTTGAACCAGTTCGAGAGCTTTATGTAAAACGGCGTGGTTAGGATTCCAAATAAAATCTGCGTATTCTAGTTTTGACCGTACAAGAGTGTTATAAAGAAGATGTTTTAAGTCTACTGGGGCCGGTATGAAGTTTCGTTATACACTCTAAAAAAAATCCCGTGCGTCTACTTCACCGCAACTTACGGAGGCAGCTCAGCGAATGACGATGCCAAAACGTATGTTTAGACCAAAAAACGCAGTCTGAGTTGAGACATTAGGCAATGCAGAACGTCACGCTTGCATCGCTTAATGTCTCAACTCAGACTGCGTCTTTTGGTCTAAACATACGTTTCGGCATCGTCATTCGCTGAGCTGCCTCCGGAAATTGCGGTGATTGGCTCTCCGAGTGTTGTGCGGGAAAGTAGACTCACGGGGCTATTATTGTATAGCTATCACTCTAAAAAATGCCCGTGCGCCTGCTTTCCCGCACAACACTTGGCGAGCCAATCACCGCAACTTACGGAGGCAGCTCAGCGAATGACGATGCCGAAACATATGTTTAGACCAAAAAACGCAGTCTGAGTTGTGACATTAAGCAATGCAAAACGTCACTCTTGCATTGCTTAATGTCACAACTCAGACTGTGTGTTCTCGTCTAAACATACGTTTTGGCATCGTAATTTGCTGAGCTGTCTCCGTAAGTTGCGGTGATTGGCTCTCCGAGTGTTGTGCGGGAAAGCAGACGCACGGGCTTTTTTTAGAGTGTATGAGGTTTCCGGGTTAATGTCCATGATATAGTAACACCTAGATAACGGTTTGAGTTTACGGATTCCAGTTGAATGTCGGTCAGCGAATATGCTGTAGGGCACGCGCCTTGTCGGGAAACCTCTATTAGTTCGCATTTGTTAGAGTTTAGTTCCATACGCCATTTTAGCACCAAAGAGTAATATTATTTAAATCAGATTGCAAAAGGCGTTCATCGTCATCATCATGAACTTCCCGATAAATTACACAGTCATCCGTGTTTAAATGCATGGAGGAAAAACACAACTTGGTAAATCAATAATGAATATTAGAAAAAGAAGCGGGCATAAAACCGAACCTTGAGGTACGCGCGATACTACATCAGTCGGGGAAGAACTATTGTCATTTAGAGTTACATATTGACAGCGGTTGGTAAGAAAGCATTCCAACCAGGTTAACAAATTAGGATCTACGTTTAATGAAGAAAGTTTAAGATTTAGTAACTTATGATTAACCTTGTCAAATACTTTTGAAAAATAGAGAAGAATGGGGTCAGCCATGGATGGTTTTTGTCTAGTATACACTCTAAGAAATGCCCGCCCGCCTACTTACCCGCAAAACACTCAAAGAGCCAATCATTGCGATCTAGGAAATCAGCTCAGCGAATGAGGCTGAACATCCGTTTAGACCTAGAAATGAAGTCTGCGCTGTGGCATTACGCAATGCAAGTATGACGCTTTGCATTGAGTAATGCCACAGCGCAGACTTCATTTTTTTTTGTCTATACAGATGTTCCGCCTCATCATTCGCTGAACTGATTGCGTAGATCGCAGAGATTGGCTCTTTAAGTGTTTTGCGGGTAAGTAAACGTGCAGGCATTTCTTAGAGTCCATACGATGCTTGCAAAGAATGGGTTTGAAGTCATTCAGTTCATTTTTATATTTCCTGCCTAATAGCTTTTGTGTCATTAATCTGATATTCGGTTAGATAAGAAATGGAGATGTAATATAATATTGCCATGCGAATCGTAAAGCACTGTATTAATAAAAAAAGAAAAAAAGAAAGAACGTGGTATATGCGTTTTGCGCGAAAATGCGCCCGAGCAGCAAACTATGCTTACTGAAACAACATGATGCTGCTGACCGAATATCAGGCATTACGTGCGATGTTTGTATAGGAACTCAATATCTCCATGCTTATTTTATCCCGTCCTCTGTTTCATTAATCCTTATAAATTTTCTGGCGAGATAGCAAGCTACAACTTGAATGCATACGGAGACATCATCTTGTTGTGTACATAAAGCATTTATTTTTGTTACTTTTTTAATGCTTATTTCTTTTGAGGTGCCGGCAAAGGAGCACCCCCGTTTGCAAACACCCGAGATAAACAAACAACCCATTCAGGGACGAGTCGCTACATGGTATTTTGGGAGAGGGACAAATAAAAGGAAAGAAGTAATTCCAAGCAAGTTTGAGCTTCCGATGCACTGTGGTCCGAAGATCACTGGTTCTGTTTAGAGCTGGAGTGGCGAAAACATGAGCCCACAACAAGCAGGAGAAGAGTATGACGCCGCTTTGTAACCATGCCAGAGACAATTTACAAATGAAGGGTGCCCGGGGGGGGGGGGGGGGGAGGGGGGGGGGGGGCTGAGGGGGGAGTATATGGCGGACATGCTCGGCCAGCATAAGGAAAATCACCAGCCTTCTCTTTTATGAGTGGAAAAATAATCTAACTATAACTACCTCACCTCTTTGCACACTATCAAATGTCCAGGAGCATGAAAGCAGCCTTGTAAACTGCTTTCCCAAGCACTTCTCGAAGGAAAGCACATTCTAAAATCGTGCTCCTGAGCCCACTCCTCTCACAAAACTCTAAAATAAGGTATAATCACTTATAATAACGCGATCAATCAGGATCGGTGATCACTACTTGGAACTAAACTCAGCGAATGGAAACTTATAATCTCTGACTCGAAGACTGCGAATTAGTCATCGTTTCTGTGTTGTTTTTAATGTGTCAAATGATTCCATTCCTCGTGCAGCATTACATCAAGCAGATGTTTGCTGTTTCTTTCGCCATGACCACACAGCGTTATTTTCCGCGACGCACTTTAATGGTCCTGACTTTGCATGACCTCTGTGGAGAAAAACAAAAGGTAGCCAGCCACCGGAGTGGAAATGGAGCGTACGTGGTTTACAAAGGCGATGACCACACCCTGGAGGGTGATTACCGCACAAATGGTTCATTGCCGCCAGCGCCCTTTGGCGTCGCGACTAAAAGAGTCTCCCCGGTGCATGTCCATCTATCTTCTTCTTCCTCAATAAAGAATGGCAGCTATCCAATCAGGCGATTAGCGGCGGAGAGGGTACGCTGATGCACCGTAATGCTGATAAAGGAGGTGGCAACGCCGAGAAAAGGAGCGACGACGGGTAAACACAGGAAAAGTGGATGAGTGATGATAAGACATGGCTGCTGGAGGAACCGCAGAATAGAATCCCGGGGAATATGAAGCCTACCCGGATGATGTCCAGTGGCCCATTTATCAATCCTGTTGTCTGTTTGTGGGCAGAGAAGGAAAGGAGCCGTCTGCTTTAGGGACTTGCGGCTGGCTAGTGTTTACAAATGTGGAATGAAGTCGAGCCAGCGGTAAGGCGTCGGTAGAACGTAATCTTTTGTCGCGGACCGAGGACTGAAAGTGTAGTCTACGGTAGCTAGTAGGCGCCGAGGGTGGACCGTGGAAGTGGACTTCTTTCTAAAATGGATGGCCTTTGCTGGTGTGATCGTCACACTAATTTAGTTTCGGATTCGCCGTTGACAGCTGGCAACCGGCGTTCGCTTGGGTATGCCGGGGGAGAGCACGTGCGTCTGCGTAAACAGAAGTATCAGGTTTGCTTTCGGAGGGCCGACGCACCCGCATGAAGGCCGCTCGCTCGTGCTATAATTTCTCTCGTGCATCTATATAAAATAATGGTTTTTACGCCAGGCTTTTACGCATCAAACATTCTCGACTACACGAATTATACACCACGGGCGCCTAGATTAAAAGATTCGGAAACTTCATCGGGCGAATGGAAGCAAATATATTTCAATATCCCGGTAATCCAAATCGCTAGTGAAATAACTGTATTTATTAGGTTTGTATAAAATCGCAGCTCGTTTTCAATTAGTCGGCCGAACATTGTTCTCGATGCATACGGATTGCGGAGGAAACCGCTACTTAGGATTACGGCTTGAAATTAATTTGGCACTGGACGAACAGCGCAATGCATCGCATTAGAATTTGGTGCAATTTAAAGCTTCATATGTTACTGCTGCACCATTAAACATCTAATTCTTGTCAGTTATTCTTATCATGATTGAAAGGACATTGCGAAACTGCTGCAGAGAGATTGAGAAGACACCTTCAGACTAACGGTTGGCTGGATAAGAAATTGATACTATGGATATGCAATACTTTTTGCAGGTTCCAACACCGCGCAAAAATTGCGAAAACGTTTTTGTTGAATTCGGTATTTGCTCTGGCTACACAGTTCTTGTACATATAGTTTGCTTTTATGACTGCTGCTAGAATTATTATTCGTAACTTAAATTTTATTTTGTTTTATTAATGCTAAATTTCATTTGACCATGTTTGATTCACCTTCACCCTGTTAAAAAAACTTGCTATTCATTTTCCAAAAAAAAAGAAGAAGGCACCAGCGTGCGCATGTTTCCAAGATGGAGTCCACGCAATAGACAAGGAAGGCAAAGATGGCCTTACGAAGTCAAGCCATCTCGACGCTGACCGCGGGATGCAATCCAGACTTCTGTCGTCTTTGCTTCAAGGGACAAGAGGTGGATTCCTTGATGGCTGCCTGTCTTTGCACAGGTGGGTTCATCGCCCATCCCTGATCTGGTGGGCGACGGACCCGCACGAATGACAGATCGTTTTTCTCAAGGGGACAGTGGCCAAGTTCACAGGGCGTGCATCGAGCGGAGTCTCCTCCAGAGCGGCGAGAGCACGTGCGAGTCCTGTGGCTACCAGTTTAGGATACGAAGAAGGGCGAAGGTAAATACCTGACACCCATCTACTCACTTTCTTCCGCTTTGCTGTGGATAAACCGGTCTGTCAATCAGGTCGTTGTAGAGTTTTTAATGCCATCAGTTTATCTTGCCAAGTGAAAGGACAACCCAATATTTTAGCAAATAATAAGAAAAAAGAACGCTAAGTTTGTATTTTCCACGTCACGTCATTGCGACAATCTACTTGGAACCACGAGCCGTATTTGCGCAATAAGAAGGCCGAGCTTTCTGGTGTCATATAAGTTTGGCGACGACACCACAAACTGCCGTGACTTCAAAACGGGCGGCATCACTGTAATGACTGCCCTTAACTGCCATTAAACTCAACCGGCAAGCTAGCTGGAGATAAGTGCTTATAATCCCGAGACACGCCCTGAGACAAGAAACACAAAGAGGGAAATTACAACACAGACTAAAACACAGCGGTGTTTGACACAGTGTTGTGCGGTCCCCGCCTCAATGTTTCTCGTCTTCGTTTTTTTTTTTTTTTTTTCCAATGGGACTGATGGGATAAATTTAGTGAGGAAATCACGTATTCAAAGAAAGTAAGAAATTTTAATTGTTCCTGTATATTCATTCTCAATTTACCTTTTTGAGAAAGCGTTTCTATTTTAACTAATTTTAATGTACTCTGTTGCTTTCTGCATCTTGTCGCAGTACCATCAGGGACACTATTAGCGAAAAGGCAAACTGCGCACAGTCAACGGGGACTAAAAGAAGTGCAAACAATATGAACCAACTAACCCACATCGCCACCCTTAGATACTATTAGCTATAACACGGCAGCAGTGACCGTTCCGATCCCCAGCGCCATATAGCAATGGCACTCTGAAACGCCGCGCCTATACCCTTCCCACCCTGTGCGGCGGAATTGCTCTTCCAGGTCCCGATAATACTCTTTCCTTGTCGTCTGCTAGGCGCAAAAAAGACGCCGCCACAGCACTTGCCCATATTTGCTTCACAGACTTGTGCATGCTTCTTTCGGTATAAAGATACCCTGACTCAGGGCTACGAGTCAACCAAACATCCAACGAAGACATATACCGGGCTAAGCACAATTATAACACCATTTCTGTTACAGGAAAAAAAAAAAAAAAGACATGAATAGGCGTCTGTCCGATTAATAAAAGTAATCTACCGAGAAATATATACAACCTGGCTGACTCATTTCCGCGAGTCTGGACGTTTCCGTCTTGACAGAGGCACCAACAAAAGCGTGTGAAGCAAACATCGGCAAGTGCTGTTGCGGCGTTTGCTTTCCGGCTAGCAGACAAGGAGAGAGTGTGATCGCAACCTAGGACACGGGAAGAGCAATTCTGCCGAACAGGGTAGGCTTGTTACGCGCGGTGTTTCAAAGTGCCCCTGCTATGTGGCGCTGGGCGTACAGAACGGCTAGAGCAACTGCATATGCTCCGCTTGTGGAGCAGAGTATCGCAATGGTGCTCCCAGGGCGGCCATGCTGGATCCAAGGCCGCACTGTGGGAAGCGTGGGCAGCTACCGTCGCTTCTTCGGGAGACGTAGGCGCGGATGGCGTGGCTGGGAGGCGGCGCGCTGTGGTGTGCAGAGCAGAGAAGATATAGTGCGACGACACGCTGCGCGTGCGCCGTCGTCTCGTCATTTGTCTCCGGTTTTTCTCTATGCCGTCGGTAGAATACAACAGCCGACGAAACAGTTGTCCCTTCGCGAGCCGTAGCTACGTGTTGTTGTCTGGTCCGAGGTACCCGAATGTGCCAGTGGCGTATCACTCCGCGAGCGCCGCAGACGCGAGCTCTGCGATCGTCCTCCGTGTCGTCTGCTTCTCAGACTCTGAAAACACATTTTAAAACACCGCTGGCGTTATAAAACAACGCGATTATACTGTATCCAGTGGCATCACATAATGTTCAATGGTCAAGGATCCTTCAAATTCGTTCGATTTTAGTGCAGGATGTATTTTCCGCAAACACAAAGCAAGAAACATGCTCCGCCCGAAACTCGGCGCCTGCAAGGTCGCTTTCCTTCATGAAGGTTGGATCCAGCTCGGCGCACGTGACCGCTTCTCCGCCAATACGGAGTTGGCGGCGCAAGGAAAAGGAACGCAATACTCTGGCTCTACAAGCAGAGCCTATACTCTAGGAATGGCTAGGAACGGCCAGAGAACGGCCGCGGCTGCCGTGTTATAGACCTTTTCACCCTCCGTCGCATGGGCGGTGCCATTTGGCGTCACGTGCCGCGGCTGCCACAAGGTGGCTTCAACTCGTTTCTCCGCTCTCCAATCCTTGCCTTGCCAAAGGCGTTGTATTCGTGTTTTTCGTGGCCTTTCACAGTGTTTCTCGCCTTACATTGTAAAATGTCGTCCTGTGGTTTGCATGCCATCATTATGTGCACAACGTGTGGAGTAATTTTGTCGTAGGTTTTGAGTATTTTCATCGCCGGTGCACCGGAGGCGTGTGGAGGGAGGGGGCGCAGAAGTAGGCGTTTGCCCTGACCCGCATTGAACATGTAGGTGACCCTAAGTCAGCACGAGAAGCGAGGACCAAATCAGTAATGAAAACTCAAGTTTGCTCAGTGATATATAGTGGCGAAACATTCAAAATAAGTAGCGCAATGTATATATATTATCGCGCATGTACAATCTGGCAGAAATAAGAGTGCCAAAGGAGTAATATTCGTGCTTCCTCTAAGCATCGTGCTTTGCTTTCAATAAAAATCGAATATATATATATATATATATATATATATATATATATATATATATATATATATATATATATATATATATATTTTTTTTTTTTTTTTTTATCCGGGAGAACTCGTTTAGATAAATACGAATTTTTAACTCGCATTTTATATGATCCTAGGAATAATGGTAAAGTCAACATCAGGCGTTGTATTTATTCGCGGTATTACACCAAAATGTGTTGGACGTTGAAAATAGATTTTGCAATATAAACATTACCCTAATTGATCCGTTGAATAATCAATTTGAAGAAACTGTACACCATGCTCGGTCCCATGTCTACAGTCGCTCAAGCGCTCGAAGGAATTTCTTAGGACATACCATTCGATTCATTGACTTCGACTTTTTCAACAGAAATGTCGGGACTACCCCGGTGAGAATACCGTCACACGCAGCTTGGGAGAGCCCAGGACCCGCAATATGTGATATGGCGAAACAAAGCCACCCAGGTGCAGTACTGTCGACGCCGAAATGTACAAAGTGCCTATGTTTCAACGAACAGAGATTTGTCTACGCAGGTTTATAATTGGCGCCTAGCGTTCGACTTCAGCCATACTTGCCGAAGGGTACTCCTCTGGCGCCCTTTAATATGATTTGACGAATTTGACGAACGTCAGTCTTCACTTGACAGTCTTGTTGCTTACATAACGTCCTGGGTATGTCGTCAGCAAACCTTTGTAATGCAACTATTTCCTGACGCCAGCATTGCAAAATACTGTTAATAAGTGCGTTTGCAGGGCCGATAGTTTATAATTTCCCATCCTGCCTACGATGGGCTAACAATATATCTCTCGAGTACTTAACTTTTATAAAATAAAGCAGCCCGAGTCAATATTACTTTTTTTATTATTCGCATTATTATAGTAGACTTTTCCAGTGTCTGAAGTTCACAAAAGGCTTGTGTCCGCGAAAATGAAACGTTGAGCAGCGACTTTATGCGTTTTTTGCAATCCAGCACATTGCTGATTGGGTTGTAACTCTGATTTGTTTTTTCTTCAAATGCTCTTCATTAGTTAATTTTAGTACGGCAATAGACGATGAATTCTCCCCGTGCCTGAGTTCGGACGTTTCTCCGCTGAAACTGCCAAATATTAATGAGAAGCCACGTGAGATGCCACGTTAAGTGTTCGCAAAAGTCAGCAATTATAACTGGAAACACTTCGTAGTTCTCAAGTGACTCAGTATAACGGTTGTCTTAGTTGTGCGCTATAACGGACACATTTGTATCAAAACCCTGAGCAAAAATGACATAAAACGCCAACACAGTCGCGAGCGCGCTGAAACCGAAACTAACCACACTGAAGCCAGTCGGCGAATGCGTTAAAACCCTCTGTCCGCCGGTCGGGTAACTACTGAGATGAAAAGGTGTATACCTAATAGTATGCGGGATAGTACGTATGGTGGGCACGTGTTAACATTTGCCTATTTTTGTAACACTGCGCACAGGGATTATACACCTGAACTGGACAACATCAAATTCCAACCATTGAAATTACAAATACACAAAAAATAGCAGGCGAGGGTATTCGACAACAAGTAGAGGCTCAGTAATGTTGTACATATAATGTACTGAGAGGACCTGACACAGTATAGTAAAGAGTATATAGTGCACAAAAGTAACTAATATCGCGCATGATATGAAAACTACAAACAAACGGTCACGAAATAAAAGCTTACTTAGCAATTAGGCTAGGACTGAAGTTAGTAGAATGACATACTAGACGTATACTACTAGACTTTCACGTGACGTATGTCGGCTGGAAATATATGCTGGGAACCTTCCACCAATCTGTTTCTACCTGCGGGGTCACTGTTTTTCAGCTGGCTCCAGCTTTTTTGCGTTGTGATGGATTGCGCATGCCGGTGTAGTCGGCGACGTAAAAGAGCACCGGCTGGCATTTGATGCTTACCATTATTTATACGTGGTTAAGGCGATCCGGCGCTCGAAAGGTCGACTCGTCGACGTCCAAAATGGCGTTGTTGTGACGCTGGAGCGACTCTAAAGAGTACAAAAAAAAAAAAAAAAAAAAGTAAGCACAAGTTTATGCGACCCAAATGCGTTCTAGACCGTGCGGAAGTTCCGTGGACGACGGAGCCACTCGCCATGCTTCTTCGTTTTAGAAACACCAAAAAAAACGATGCTAATGTAGAGTCGCTTGCATACAAACAAATAGATAAAATAGCAAACGATATTCACCAGTATGGCTGCAAATACGTACCCGAAGTGAAACGGTATTTCGCAAGACTGCCATATACATAGTATATACTGTGTGACATGTTGCGTGGAAAGTGTACGTAAAATTATTTGACGTATTTTAAAATTTTCGGGGCGGTGTAGTTCGAGGTTCGCCTGCTGTAACCTCGGTTTCACGGGCGGTATTTTATTTTCAAAGATTAGCCCGATCAGGGATTGGTAGAAGTCCGCAAATTCAGATCAGCCAGTATGGAGCCTAATAAGGTGCGTTGACTGAGGCATTTGCGAATCGATGGAAGAGAATTGGTGGATGGTTGTTGTCAGGCTCTCGAAAACTGTCGAGGGTGTCTTGCAGTTTTCTAGTTCCGACATTCGATGTTTGCAGCAGCGCCTCACACGCGTGAATCTTTTGGTATTGGAGTGAGCAAGGAAATAATAGGCGAAGGGATTCGCAACTCTAGACGACGCCAATCGACGAAAAAATGGTGTAGAAAAAAAGCGGGGAGTGTGGAACAAAAACTGGCACGGCCTGTCGGCTGGAACATGAAACAGCGGAAAGAGGATTAAAGGCATATCGTTAGGATCACGAATATCGCATGGTGTCTGCGACGACAAAAAAAGCCAAATATCCATCCTGTCGATTGCAAGACGGTTCTGTCCTTTGAAAAGGGCCTACACTGTGACGAATTAGTTACGAACAGAAGAAACTCAGCCGCATGGATATGTACCCTAGACACTATTTTTGCATACCACGGCTTGTGCTCGAGGAGGGCAGCGTTACTGCCGTCACGAAGCGGGGCCGGTTTATGCAAGTGACAGGTCTCGAGGACAAAATAGGTTGACAATAGTCAATGGCAGGAGGAGAACGGCAGAATCTGTGACCTTCGAGCGTGCACACGCAGCCAAAGCACGGCGGAAGGCAACGAGCACGGGCGTGAGTCTGAGTGTCTAATGGAGACGCCCTGCCGTTCTCATCCGGCCACTGACTATATATGGTTACACTAACCTCGACCGAATATTTGGAGGCGCATGTAACATTGCTCACAATTAGCGACGTGCAGCGTCGCTGCCGTCAGCCTTTTACAAAAGTAGTGCAAGGTGCGTCGATGCACGAGGCACGTGCAACGTGCAGTTGGGAAGATCTTGGCGGCACAGCGCAGCACTGAGCTACATTTCAGACGCCATGAATTTCCCAGAAGTGGTGCGCGGCACGTGTCCCGAACATTTTCATAACAATGAAAGGCGCCACTTTTCCCAGGATAGATGGGCTTTACCTTTCACTAGGGTGCCTCAATGAAAGCGCACATGAAGGCACCCTACCTTTCACGAGTAACCAAGAGCTCAGTAGAACGTCTTTAGTATAGGATTCATTTCGCATCGACGTAAATAAGCGCAATATCTGAAAGTCAAGCTCAACGGTGTTGCAGTTAAGCATTCGATTATTACAAGCTTCCACCGTTCTCTCTACCACTCTCTAAACCCACCATCGAAATTGTCAATGGTGTACATATGATAAGTTGCCAGGATCACGACTGGTGACGTCACGTGAGGAAACTGCTGGTTGTGACGTCAGGGATAAGAACCCAAAAAAGGACACCGCCAACGTTACAAGATTACCTCAGTTGTGGAACTCCCGCGGAGGGGGTACCCCCCTTCAATCACTTCAGACCGCCTCCCCTAAAGCTCCTTGCTGTGTTTGCGTTTGTCTTGCAAGTAGCGTCAAATGCGCAAGTGCACGAGGCCCGTGTCTTGAGCGGCCCTTGGAAGCAAATTGCGGCACAGCGCTGAAATGAGCGGCTCTTGGAATTGAATGGCAGCGAAGGAACCTTTCGTAAACGCCTTTATCGGGGAGCTTTAGCATCCCGTAAAGCACCTCGATGTGTTCGCGTTTGTCTTGCAAGTGGCGTCAAATGCGGTGCACGAGGCTCGTGTCTCGAGCGGCCCTTGGAAGAAAATGGCGACGCAGCACTGAAATGTGCGGCCCTTGAAAGCGAATAGCGGTGGAGCACACGCCCGTGCCACGTGTCTTGCGCGTTTCCACAACAGTGGTTGGCGGTACTTGTAAGAAACGCCTTTATCAAGGGGCTTTAGCCTCCCGCAAAGCCGTGCATGAAGAGAGTTTGGCCATTATTTGCGAAGTATTGGAGTAAAATGAGGAGGGCGCCATTGACTAAAAGCGGGTTGGGCGTGTTCTAGGCCGTCTTCACAAATTCGAATGTGGTCAGACAGAAGCCGCGAATAAGACCCTGGCGGTGGTCGCGAGAAACGAAATTAATAAGGGCGTCCGAGTAACTCACGGTGACTGAAAATTAGGTGCACGTGATGTTTCGATCACGGTCATGCAAAACCATGGTGAAAGATATATAAAGGCATAAAATATATAAAAAGCGTGCGCGACTAGCAGTGCGATTGACGTAATCCGTTCACACTGCGTCCGAGCCATAGAGTTATTATAATGTACGCTAGAGGTTCAACTGGCGCTAGTGTCTATGCGACTTCCGGGAGGCAAATTGAAGCAGACAGCAACCAGTCTACTTTTGCGGTGCTCCTGTGCATTCCTATGGGAAAACGCACGTGCATTTTGTGTCTTCGCCGGAAAACAACATGAATAAGTTTTGATATTTCTGTCGTACCGAACAGTGTGTACCTTTATTGGTATTGTGAAAGTGTAATTGCTTTAGTTACAGCATTTTTATTTACCGCTGAACGATGTTAAACTTCGCTATATTTCAGGCCCAAACCTCTGTTCCACGGCAGGTATGTAAAAACGAGCGATGATTCTAAGCAAAATAACGATCGAAAGGAATGCAGAGTGTGTACAAGCTTCGCTAGCATTCCGGTGGCGCTTATATATTGCTAATATGCCCGTCTTGTCATTATATGAAAATGACTCCGTCGTGAGCATCTTTACGATCGGTTAAAAACATTTGAACATAAAAAATAAAGTACGTTGGCCACAAAAGGTGTGTCTTTATTATTTCCTATGTCGGGCAACTTTTATCGGGCACCTGTTTTCGAGCTTCTCACTATTTGAAAATATTTGGAGCGTGCGGGTGATGCTTTGAACCCAGAACAAGCATCTTCGCACATGAGTAGAAAGAATAAAGCAGTACTTATTTAATGGAAATCGGACTATATTACGTGGCTTACAATTTATTTTGATCGTCTGCATGCACAAGGAGTTCCTCATTCAGTGTTACTGCGAAGTTCTTGCCGTCTCTTTTGGTTTTCCAGATGTCCTTCGTTCGTTTGGCACGTATATCCCCGATGCTAGAAAGCGCCGACACCGTGTTCGCGCTAACAGTGTCCGACAGTGCACATAAATACACGCACGAAGCGGTTTTAGCACCGTTTTTCAGGCCACGAATTTAAAATAAAAACGCCGTAAGTGACCAATTATTTTGTCTGCGTGACTGAGAAATGTTCCAAAGTGCCTAGTACGTACGAATTATTCGTGATATTTGCCCTTATAATCGAGCGCAGAGAGAAAATGCACTCGCTTTTTTCCATAGAAATGCATGGCCGGAAGTCCATTTCGTACTGGTTGCTGTCTGCTTCAATTTGCAGCAGCACACTAGCGCCAGTTGAACCTTTAGCGTACATTATAATAACTCTATGGTCCGAGCAAAGCAGAGGTCGAGCGGCACATTCTTTTCTTTCGTCTTTTTGCCCATGATCATAATTGAAACATCACGCGAACCCTATTTTCAGCCACGAAGAGTTAATACATTTAACCCTTACAGACCTATTAAAACTGTCTGTTGCTACCACTGCTAGGGGATTATTTTCGGCTTCTGGTTGGTCAAAAAGCATGTCAAGCCCTCTTTCTGCGTCTGGTGCACACCCTGGCTCTCCCGCGCCTCCCATTGACCAAACTCTCTCTATATACGGCTCTGGCCTCCCGTAGTTTGATGCGCCATCTAGATTGACGTTTCAAAGCTGTGTGTTCCATAAAGTATACGGTGAAATGCCATCTCGACGGGTGTGCTTCGAAACATACGCATTACTTAGATATACACTGCAGTTACCATAGCAGCAATCTAGCGCGTCAAACGTCAGGAGCCGAGCCGTGATTGGAGAAAGGGGGGGGGGGGGAACTGTTCGTGTAAGCTGCGTCTGTAAGGAGTCCTGTAACTGAGTTAATCTAATCACGTTGGGCGCCACCAAAACATCTCGCCGACACTGTATGTGCATTATGTGCGAATGCAGCCGCTGCTGCTCTGGCTGGTCTCGGGACAGTGCCGGGAGGACGCGGTGCTGCTGCTGCTCAACTTGGTTGGAATGGGAGGCGACGTGCTCGTCTTCAGCTTCGCCTGGCTCAAAACGCTCAGCTACCTGGAGCAAGAGGAGGGCGCTCCTCGTGCCGTTCACCTGCTCATCAGCGTCCTGCTCTCGTTCCTTACCTGCTTCTGGACTTGGTTCCAAGGCTATCGATTGTGGTGAGTGTATGAACGGTTCGTTTCAATGGAACGCTGATTCACTCCGTTTCACATTAAGTCTGACCACACTCTAAAAAAAGCCCGTGCGTCTACTTTCCCGCACAACACTGGGAGAGCCAGTCAGCGCAACTTACGGAGGCAGCTCAGCGAATGACGATGCCGAAACATCTGTTTAGACCAAAAACGCAGTCTGAGTTGTGACATTAAGTAATGCAAAACGTCACGCTTGCATTGCTTCAAGTCACAACTCAGACTGCGTTTTTTGGTCTAAACATATGTTTCGGCATCGTCGTTCGCTGAGCTGCCTCCGTAAGTTGCGCTGACTGGCTCTCCAAGTGTTGTGCGGGAAAGCAGACGCACAGGCCTTTTTTTAGAGTGTGCTCACTGTGCGGCAGTGATTTAGCCCTGGATAGCACAAAGACAACGAGCGCGAGCGCCATGACGTAGCACTTTTGGCGCTGCTTGATCGGCTCCATCTTAGCGCCGGCTGCTGTAGGACTTACCATGAAACGCATATTCGCGTCCCCAGCTTGTTTCTCGCCCTCTTGCGGCGGAAACGGGAGGTGCTCTAGTGAGGGTCCCCCGGCTTTCCTTCTGAGCGAGCACAGCGAAACTATACTTGCGATCATGGCTCGCGAACACTCATTTCTGAATGCAAACAAAACTCTTCACTGTCCCAGTGTAGTGCTGCAGCAGGTATGGGATTGCACCTTACTAGGGAATTCTAGTATTGCGTGTTCGCTTTGAGATTCGAAGGCACGGCTTAACGTATTTACTTCAGTAATAGCCGCACTGTTTATGAAGAAAACCTGAGGGTTCGCTTTTCCGCGGAGCACGCAGGTTACCAATTACCGCGATCGACAGCTTGATTCCAGCTGTTTAGAGGACAGGGATAACGTCCTGGCGCGAAGATACCGTCTGTGAAGATTGCATTTGAATGGAAGATAGTGTTCTCGATCTCGTTATTCGCTATGTTATTTATGCGCAACGCAATGATTGGCTGTATATGTGCGTTGTGGGAAAGTAGGCGCAAGGGCCTTGTTCATAAGTAGTGCGGCTATTACTCGAGTAAATACTATATGGTGAAAGGCAGAACTACGCTGTGTTATACATTTACTTGGAGCAAAACGAATACTAGGCACGCGTGGCCCAAGCCACGGGAGGCGCCAATGCAGCGCTCGCGCACTGGAATCAACTGCTGCACTCTAAAGGCCTGTTCACACATGCAGCGGAGCGCTACAAGCATGGCGCTTACCTCGCGCTAAGCGCGTGCTGACGGGAGCGTTCACCAGCTTTGTATCGCACCGTCAAAACTGTTGCTCATGGCAGACGATAAGTAGCTGACGGCACGTGAGAAGCGCTACATCAGCGCTCCGCTGCATGTGAGAACCGGCCTTTAAAAAAAGCCCCTTGCGTCTGCTTTCCCGCACAACGCTCGGAGAGCCAATCACCGCAACTTACGGAGGCAGCTCAGCGAATGACAATGCCGAGACATATGTTTAGACCAAAAAACGCAGTCTGAGTTGTGATATTAAGCAATGCAAGCGTGACGTTTTGCATGAATTTCTCGGACTAGCTAGAATGTTGACATTGATTTTAGACAATTTGTTTATAACTTGTTAATTAAAAATGCCGCAGTTAGCATCAGTGATGATAATTTTCCAACTTTGGATTGCCAATGTTGTTCCCGCGTTTGAAATTAGATGATTCATGAGCAACACATTATACGTTGAAAAGCATGAAAAACTACGTATCTTAATTGTATTATTATTAATTCAAATTGCATCAATGCGCTGGGACCCCAAACAAACGCCACAATCACAAAAATACGCATTTAACCATAATAATCTTTACAGAAAGATTTCATTTTGTTTTACTGGTGGCATATTGCCGCGCGCGTCTCCGAGAAAGCGCGCCCGTGGTTCAATTGTGATCGCTCTCGACTCCCACGCAAAAGGCCGCGAGGTACAATACCTGGGAACGGACGCACCTTTTGTTATTTCTGTAAATGTCACGTGTTCTGTTAAATTCGGGGACCCGAATGTTCTACGTGCCGACCCTTCTACGCCGATTGTTCCAGAAACCCACCCTTGTACATAAGGGGCTCCGCGTGGCGAGCCGGAGTTAGTCTCGCCCCAGCGCTCGATCTCGCTGTTTCGACGAAATTGACGCCTGCGGCGCTAACCTTCCTCTATTTTGTTTTGGGCAAAAGTACGCCCCATTAAACGTTTAGCGTCTCCAGTTATTCGCCGCCTCATCATTTGTCATTCTTGACAAATGATGAGGCTCTGACAGTGTTATCAAGATAGACAAACTCTGGATATAATATGAAGTTCTATGCGGTCACGCGTTGCCTCAAAAAACACACACACTTCTGTCGTCTGACTGAAATTTCGTTGTTGTTTTTTTGTAGTGATTACAGCTTTTCTTAATTTATACGTTTTGTGAACATTATCAAAACTCATCACCGGTGGCTTTATTTTGTAAAATTTGGATTGATCATGTTATTGCTGTGCTGGGAATAATGAAAGAAATTACTCACCTAAATGCTCAAAAAGGTTCTGCGGTTTGGTATTTCGAATAAAAATTACCTGAGTGAAAAACGAAAAAAAAAAAGATGAAAGACGTTTACAATGCCCTGTAACGCCGATTTAGTGCGCACCTCTTGAGAAGGAGGAGGGGAAGGTACGCAGAGGAGGCTGTGGCCCTCCTCCTCTCCTGCTCGCCTCCCATTTAGCGGAAAATTTTCCCCGCTAGATTTAGCTGAAAAAATTCCCCACTAAATTTAGCGAGGACATTTTTCGCTAAATTTAGCGGGGAAAATTTCCCGCTAAACTTGACGGGGAAATTTTTCCGCTAAATTTAGCGGGGAAATTTACCCATAATGCACCGCGCTGTTACGGCGACGGCGATGCCGCTCAAGCCGGAAACGGGCGCCAAAGAGCTGCGCTCTAAAACAAAAACACACAAATATCTAAGCAGATTTTTTCAACAAATACAGTATTCCGTGTCACGTCTAAGGTGTATGAAAGACTCTGTTTCTAAAGGGACATTGAGCTCTCCAAAATATTTGAGGTGCCTGGATCGGACACGTATGGCACAAATTATAGTTTCTGCGAACATGGTCGCAACAAAAATTCCAGCGGGGGTTGGCATTCTTGCTTGAACGCACTCACAACCAATTTAAAATTAAAAAGAAAATTAAAAAAAAAATTACTTAACCTTACAGCCGCACTAACCTTCGAGACCTCACTAATGAACTCACCGAACTCACGCCCCTAAAGAACTCGCAGACTCTTTAGGCGCGTTAAGTTAGTGAGCTCCAGACTCCGGACATCTGCGCTCGAGCGCGCGGGTTCGGAGCGTAGCTTAACGGCGCACTTTGGTACCGAGGCGCCATCTGACGCCTGCTTTTTTAACGTTTCCGGTTCCGGCTTTCCGGCGCGCGCTTGAACTTGGCTCCCGACCCGTCGAAACATCGAAAAAGTGTTTAATCGACGACGACTTCGATGAAATAAGTGCGCGGAGACGGCGGCAACAGCGAGAGCTTGTATTTATGCTGCACGCTGTTGGTGCGGCGATTAAAGGTACACCGAACGCCTTCTGAATTCCCAAAAGCCTGAAAGAATGACGACTTCGACAAGCATTTCAATGATGTATGCATACCTTTCTACACCAGCACCATGCTTTTTTTTATTTTCCACGATGACGGAACGACTACACGAGCTGCCAAGCGATCGCCGTCGAAGTATCCACGCATCCAAGCAGGCGCGACTTGCGCGTCCGACGGAGTCCCTAAAGACTTCGGCGCAAGTACGAACAACGCCGAGAGCTCCGAGCACTGCATCGTAGCGCAGAACGAGCAGCTCCTACCCACGACCGGCCTACCTCGGTGTCGTTCCTGGCTAGGCCGGAGCCTTTCGGCCGCGGGGTTCGGTTGGTGCGGTCGCGGTCGGCGAAGTTTGGCGAGGCGAACGCGGTGGCATCCTCGGAGCGTTCGGAAGCGAACTCGCTCGCCAGGGATTGCGCACACCCGACGCTTCTGGTCCAGAGTGGCCCGGCGGCCCGGTCCGGAGTGTCCGGAGCCCAAAACGCTTGGGTTTTGATGATTCTTCCGTCTCGTGCGAGACCACCGCACCACCGTGTGAAACCGGTGAAACCACAACCTAACCTCCTTGACAACCACCGTGCAAAATCGCCGCGAGTAACCGCGAGACTGGCCGCGAGAGCGGAAACGCCGTCATCTCACCGGAAACCGACCTGTTCGAGCTCTCGCGCACCATCTCGGACGATGGAGCTCGCGGAGCGCGCTCCGCCACCGTGCACCGGAAGTGAGACGTTGTCGTTTAGTTTAGCTCGAGTGCACTCTGACCGCTGGAGCGCGCTCGAGCGCGTTAACTTAACGCGCCCACTCCCTCACCGAACTGATGAACTCACTGAACTCACAAACTCACGCCCCTCACCGAACTCACTGAACTCACAAACGCACGCTCATCATCGAACTCATGAACGCACTCACTCACTGACCTCACTCACTGAGAAGAAGTTCTCGCCCTCACCCGCCAAGGTCGCTGCCGTCCTTTGCCTCTCCGGCGCCAGCCCTTAATGTCGCCAAGTGAAGACATGTTTTGTCTTTTTGTGTATTTCACTCCGACTCCTTCCGCGCGCTGGCCGAGCGCTTGAGGAAAATGCGCTTTGTTGGGATACAAGGGCGCTTCGTCGCGAGCCTCGTAAAGAAGTATTCTTTAAGCCAGGGTCACACTGCTCATACATCATACAAAAGACAGTCTGCGAACACGAGTCCCCGAAATATCCGTATTTCGAATGCCGCGTGCCAAGTTTCTCTCAAACTCATTGCCATGCGGCATTCGAAACACGGACCTCGAGGTCACTCGCGTTAGAATCTCTATGCAGACTGTTTTTTGTATGATGTAGAAGCAGTGTGATCCCGGCTTTACGGTGTGCATTGTTTGTGTCAAGCATTCGTGACAACTTCGTGCAAGTCTGGAGTGAGCGTCTGTAGCACTGTTTATTCGGGTACTAATTATTAATATTATTTAAACGCGCACAGCCGTGGGTGTTTATTTAGTTTCGGCATAAAATATTATTGCGAAATTTCCTTAATGGCTAGTCAGAGTTAGATGTCAGCGCCCATAATGAGGTTCAGGATCGATGAATACAAGGAGATGGCGAAAATGTTCTCCAGTCTGTCGAAGTATCTCTTGACAGAGAGAGGGGCTGGCATAAGAGAGCGGAGAGGTAAGAATGGTAAGTTTCTTGCTCCCTAAGAACATATATTGGAGGTTCCTCGGCTCTAGCAATAACAATATCACTGAATGTCGCGCGGGGGCTGAAGAAAAACGCGCAAGCTACGCGCGATCATATAATTTAGGTATTTTTTCTAGTTTTGGTGAGAGGCAATGCAGAACAAATGAAGTCCTTTAACTGACAATCCACGGTGAACAAAACTTTTTGTCCTGTACGACAGGCGTAGTGTTCAATATGGATAGCCCTTAAGAGTTGTGTCTAGCGGCAGCAGCCGATCAGTCGAGCCTTGGAGGACATTCGGGTAGTGGCTCGTAACCAATGACTGCGGTGACGGGAATCGCCAAACTTCAGTGCGTCGACCGTAGCAATCAGAAAAAATCTCGACATATATAATGCGCAGCAGCTTACTCAACGCTGCTCGAGCGAACATGTGGTTTGATCTCATGGTTCCTTTCTTCGTCCTCTCCCACAAATAAAGCACTAATTCCGTCTCACAAATGTCTGAAATAAAGTCAAATACACAGGCGCGTGAGCCTAGCCCAGCAGAATGCTTTTGTTCGCACGAGAGGTCGTGCATACGAGGCACTTTCCAAAGTCACGCACTTGTGCCCATTCCTTTGCTTGCACTGCAGGTGTTTGTGAGATTGAGTAGATTAAGTCACAAGTTCGCTCCACTAGCTTTGACAGAGTTGTGAACTGGATATGAAATGGAGTGTAGCTGTATGCCGAAGGTGCGAACGCTGGTGCTTTTCTATTTTTTTTATCTGCCACTGCTAATGTTAAAAAAAAAAAAAATTCGCATTTAGCAGGTTTAGAACGCCAAGGATTTGTATCACCAATATTAAGCGAAAGTGAGAATATAGTTTCATATCGTTTTGAAGGAAATCCAGCAATTAACTTACCATCTGAAATTGTTCTATGACAATGAACAATTGAATTAGCTTTTATATGCTACCAAATAAATATAGCAGCCTTTAAATCCAATTGAAAATACCTCCGGCGTTTCGGACGTACTCAGACAGAAAGACGTTTATACGTACTTTTTTTTTTCTACAAAACTTTAAGTTAGAACATGAAATTAGTTAAACAAGTATACAAGTGAATCGCTACAGTTTAGAGCCGGTTTTCATTTAATGTTGGCTTCATGAATAGCGACCGTGCCTAAGACGAGCGCGCTCGAATTAGCGACTTCTGTCTTCAGGCGTACCGGTGTAGCACCTGTTTTCCTCCCTCACGAAACAATACACGCGAGCGGGCGAGGCGAGCGGAAGAGCGCTGCCCCCTCTCTCGTCACCCCACCACGAAGCAGCGACCAGCGGCAAAGGAACATGCCAAGCAGCCGCGAAGCGAGCCGGAGCCAAAAAGCGCAGATAAACCCATCGGCGCCTTTTCCTCCTTTCCTATCACTTGCAAATAATCAGCCGTACCAAACCATACGAGCAAACAGCGCCGTTGCAAAGTGAGCGGCGACTCAACTTCCCCGAAAATATAGGGAGAAGTCACATGACCCGTCCTTCCTTGGTGTTACCCCCAAACTCTCATCGACCACATGCATGGCGCTTCAGGGACCTCATACTTCGCCAAACTCAAGACTTCACGACCCTCACCGAACTCATAAACTGTTCAAACTCACGAACTCACGCCCCTCACCGAACTCAAGAAGTTACCGTGCTCATAAACTCACCGACCTTATAAACTCACGCCCCTCACCGAACTCATAATCTCACCGAAATCACGACCCTCACCGACCTCACGCCGCTCACTCCACCTCAGACTCGTGAGTTTTGGAGGCTCACAAACCCACTCACCCCCACATCACGCCTGATTGGCGAGGGTGACGGAGGGGAGTGAGTGCACCCGTGAGGTGGATAGCTTTGCCGAGGTATGCCAGTCAATCCTGATGCACGTTTAACTCGTGTCATTCAGCTATTAGTCTGTTTTCAACAGCTATTGGCCTCGTCACTTATAAGTTGTTTTATTATCTGTGTTCGTTTAACCTTCTGCCATTCTGACTATCCGAAAAATCTCGGTTTTCATAGGATATTCCAGCTTTAGTCACAATTGAGCGAAGGAAAGCCGCACGCAGCGTGATGCCCTAGCTCAACATCCAATATATAATTTTGTTCTATTTTTACGGTCATAACATTAATCCATTGAAGTACTAAACAGCAACACCACGCATGAATTAACTCCCAGTAAGCTGTGAATCCATTCATAAGCGACGTAATATCCAGGTACTTCACGGAACCCATTCGTCGCTGGCGCAAGGAGACAAGCAGGGTAACGGTGCTGCCAGCCAATGTCCCTCAGCCAGTGGCCACACCCCGTGACGAAGAGGTCGAGGAAGGCGGTTCGTTCGGACAGCTCGCCTGTGAAAATCATGGCGACGAACTCTGCCTTACAGGCGTGCAACATCAGCAGCCGCTCTCGTGACGCACCGACTCCGTCGCGACGCGTACGTCTTCGCATAAAATGCCAACGTTGTGTCCTCTCGACGCGAGTGTATGACCAGAAGGACGAGTAAGAAATATCGTCGGTGTATAGCTGCTTGCCCCCGCAGGAATTGAACGGTTTGATCTAAACATTGGACATAGTTATGCAATCACAAAAAAAGAAAAAAAAAGTCGGGATTGTGATGGGTGATAGGTGATATTCAACGGACGCTATATGTAAGCGCTTTGTTCAGAGCGCACGCACAGATCCACCTATATGTGAAGAAGGCGTGTCAGATCCACTGACGTCGTGATGTTGTTCGCTGAATAAAGTGGCGTACCGACTCTATACATCAACACGCGAGCTTGACGTCACGCCGCTGCTGTGGTCGCAGCTATTGGTAGGGCGCACCCGTAGGCACTGCAGGTGCCCACAGATTCGTGTGGGAACTGCGTATTTGCCACACCTCGTCTGGCCTTGTTTGTCAACGGCGGGTTGGCCGATAGGGGGTATTAAAGTTCCCATGCGTAGAGCAAGCCGTCTGCTTCTGGCGCAGGAGTGGAGGTGACGTCAGAACAACGCCGAGCTCTGAATGGCTGATCGAAAGAAATACTGGGTAGAGCTCAATGCTAAATGCCTTGAGGTTTACCCACTATCTGGTTCGATCAGCCAATAAGAGCTCGGCGTAGTTCTGATGTCACCGCCACTCCTGAGCAAGAAGCAGACGACTTCCTCTCCGCATAGATAAGTGCTTCCTGCAAGTAGCGACGACATTCTTTGAAGCACCGACTGCGTGACGGTACAGGTTTTAGGAAGCGAATGGCGGCGCACAGCAGAAGATTGAACTGATGACGTCATTCTGTTCCAGCGGAACGTGCATCGTCATTTGTATCGGTTGTCGTTACTCGTAGGAAGGGGTATCGAGGGACTCTAGGGAGTATTCACAGGCGGCCAGTGCTGTGTGCGCGACTGCTGAGCGAGTGCTGACGGCGAGTTTCCACAATTCTTCTGCAACGTGCCTTTCGCACCATCAAGACTGTCGGTTTCAGCAGCCTATTAATGTAAGCTCGTTCTGAGCATTCTCTCTTAACATCGCCCTCAGATATGGCGTTCAGTGAACACCCACTATTGGCGACGTGAGCGACCGAAATCGTCGCTGTGGTCGGTCTTCCACGATGGGCCAAATTCTGACTATGACGTCAGCAAAGGATTTCCCGTCGACGGAAATAAGAGGAATGGAAGAACTTTAATCTTGACGGTGTTGGCAGTGTTGGTTTGAGAGTGCTATGATTTCAAGCTTCCACCATGCTCTTTACAAACACCTTCAAACTTTCTGTTCACAAGATAATGACGTCACGAAAGGTAACCACAGGAGGGCGCCACCAAAGCATCTCGCCGCCAATAAGGAGTATTCACTGGCGGCGTGCCATCTCCTCATCCCAGCACGCGCATATTCGTCGCTTCGGAAAGCGAGCAAATCACGTGCCATGCGCACGAACACTAAAAATGGAAGCGGACAGGAGCCCTTTTTTGGAAAGGTCAATAGAAAGTATTGACCTTTCCAGGGTATAGCAACCTATCGTCTGTCTTGAACAACGGCTTTGACAGTGCGAAAGACATCCGGTAAACGCTCGCTGCCAGTAAGCGCCTGACCACGGAGAAAACCGCTGTGAGTGGTGGTAAGTCCTGTTTTTTTACATATTCCCCCTCTTCCATGTGAGAGAACTAGGCATAGTACTTTTTAAAGTTTCGCGATTTTCTAGAGAAGTATTACACTTTGTATTTGGAGCAACGGCCGCCGGCTGCCCACGACTCCCGCGAATTTCGCCAACCGCAAAATTTATGAAAATGAGTGGCTGGCGAAAATCAAGTGTTTCACGTGATCAGAATAAGATCTGGCGCTCAGCCCGTGGTCGGCTGCAATTCGGAATCTGGTCTCGCTTGACCGAGCTCATCAAAAGCCGACGTGGTGCCGGAAGGACGGCACATATTCCGAGATACCGTTCCACACACCGTATATGACCATCCAAGCGGATTCCTTGTTTCATTCATGTGAAATCTTTACTGCCGGGGTTTTCATTGCGATTCCGATTTGCGACTTCGAAGCCATTTTTAGATTTCAAAACGGAGGAATACAAGATTACTAAATTAAAATAAAATTTTGTTTTCACGTCAGATCACACTTTTATTTGGACATACATTTATAAAAGATGACACGTAGAAAAAAGAAAGAAAGAAAAAACATACAGTCAAAAACAAGGAATATACTCCGTTACACTACTATTCTCCGTATCACTATTCTTCGTATCGAAATAAAAAAAAAAAAGGCTGATATCAAAAATTAAAATAAACCTTTAAAAAAAAAAGAGGTTTATTGTGTTCGATTAGTTCTTGATTTTTGCGTTGTGTTTTTTCCGGTATGTGTAACCAACTAGCCCGGTAACTGTTCTTAATTTGTACAAGATGTGGGAGTACAGTCAAAAAGCCACGAAAGCGCTGCCGTGATTGGGTCTGCCCCCATCTTCCCATCAGAATGAGCATAATCTGGTTCACGAAATAGTATCTCAGGTGTTGCAAAATCCTACAACACTTTACTAGCACTACTCTTAGGTAATAAAATCCAACCAACCGCACAAGGGACGAACTTAAAAAAGAAAAAAAAAGTATTTTCTCGACATTTTATTATTTTATCACTTTATTTATATATTATTTTTTTCAAATAACGGTGAAAAGAACAACCAGTCAAGATGATCAGCTGGAAACCCAGGTTTGTTTCTAGTGCGATCCACCGTTGACTGAAAAGCCTCTGCAGCGGACGAGGTCGGATGTCTTTCGGCCTAGGCAACTTCCGCGAAGCCAACCCGATCCTGGTCCCGGTCGAAGATGGTGTAGTAAGGGCCCAGGAACACGTCTCCGAGAATCCACAGGGGTTGAGGCATCTCCAGGCCCATGAAACCGCTCACGCAAAGCGTTTGACCTTGTTGATTTATCTGCCACACGAAAGAGAATTTTTTTTTTTTAATCTACTTAAGTATCTATCATTTCGCTCTACAAACCAGCAATGTACATGAATGCTCCAATCCTGTTGTATCAAAGACTCTATGACTAGAGAATATAGGGCAGTTTTAAATGCGGCAGCAGTATTTATTTCAACCCCCCCCCCCCCCCCCCAAAAAAAAAAAAAAGTTATTTGTAAATTTGTAATACGAAACGATTTTACATCCTCTCCTCCTCTACATATCCGTCTCTCCTCCCCAGCGCCTCCTCTTCTTCTTATCGCGCGCATGCGCAGTTGACGGGTCGCTTCACGTGTGCCTCCTCGGCCTACGGGTGGAGTGATACGCAGCTGTCTCGGTGGATTGGCGCCTGTCGCACTCGGCTACGTTCTATGATAGAAGCCAGATGCACGCTGGAACTGCTCCAGTTGTCTTCACAAGTGAGAGAACGAGATGCTTCAAAAACGCACTACAACAAGAAGCAGGGCATCGCTTTGCAGGGTTTTATGTTGGCCAACAAGCGCTCCGAACAGCACTTTGTCGAGGATCTGTTCGGTATTCTCTGCGGTGTGTGTCATCGGTTCTCGTTCCAGAGCTATGTGCGTATGGATTGAAAATGTGCGTACATTTCATGCTTTTTGAACCGGTATCGGGTCCGTATCAATTTATTCAGCTAAATATGGCCTTCATAAAAGAAAAATCTAATTTCGACGTAATCTGCAGCGTAGCATCACAGAAACGCAGCCCCGTTTTTATTTAGTTTAAATGATATAATTATATGTTAACGATACTTGTCATATGGTATACAGAGAGAAGGGGTTCAATGGTCGAGTGTGTTAGGGCGCCACAGCTCGAAGCACGTGGAGCGAAGGCTGGCGCCGTGGAATCCAGAGATCCTTCCGGGATTTTATCCCCGCCCCTGTCCCGCTTTGACGTGGTCGGCCATCGTAGAGGAGCATGATTATGTAATCGCTATTGCGCGATTCATCTTGAAGTCTCCAGCTTGGCTATCGTGCTGCACTGATAAAATTGCCCGTGTACAGCTGAAACACCAGATGCCATTTAAAGGCGCACTGTCATCCTGCTGTCTAAACGTCCGTACATCAATTTGGACCCCGGAGTTTATGCAAATAACTTCAGTTTTATTTTTTTTTTTCTAGACCTCGTAACTCAGACACCCTAGTCAGACTCCCCTCCTTCCCAAGAAAAGCACCATTCCCTAGGTAACGTTCGGTTAAGAAGTGACGTCGTTACGCAACTTTGTGCTCGTGGGAAACGTGTATAGACGTCACACTATTCATAAAAACGACACGATATTTATGCTAATGACAGTTTTAGCTCTTGATATTTGTATTTGCTTTTATTTGGGTTTATTTTTGTAGCCCAAGGCCGGCAGAACAGTAGAGGAAAAGGGCGTTTTTTATCTCACCAGTTTCTTTTTCATGCGCCAAAAACGTGGCCGTCATTGGCAACAATAAAAGGGGGACGGCGAATAGCGTACTAACGGTGCTTTGGAGGACTCCATGAGTAAGAGCTTGTATAGGTTTAAAGCAAATCCTTTCTCGCACATATCTTTTTTTTCCTATTCGAACTGTCCTAGGACAGTTCGAATAGTTCCTGTGACTGGAGGCGAATCATATTCTTGGCGTATATTCAGTAGGCTCAAATAGTGCCTGGAGCTATGAAATATTTAGTTATAAAATATTGAATGAGTTTAAGAATAATGAGAGATATACATAAGAAGACTTCATAAGAAAAGTTAATACAAAGAATGAGACTGAGGTCCTAACTGGCTCACCTTCAGGACGTAGTCCTTGCTGCGGAGCGAGAATTCTTTTCCGGAAATTGTGAAGGTGACATTCGGTAGGCTCTCCAGCTTGTCACAGTCGAGCAGGTACTGCGAAATGACGATGAAATAACAATAACTGGTCAAATAACGCTGAAAGGATTCAATAAAACATAAAAAAAAGGAAACAATGATTTACTGTGCACGTTTTGCAATACCACTAATGCCCAAGGTAATCTCATATTTTCCAAGCAATACTGTCCAGGCACTTCAGCACGTTTATCACAGAAAACGTATGACCACAATTTTATTTCGACATATGAATAAACCAAATCTGCGGTTAATTTCTTCTTATTTGAAGCAGAACCAGTAGCGCGCCAGTCCGATCAGGTGAACGTTTCACCAACTCTTTTCGCGATCATGACCCAATCACCTCGTTGGTAACCCTATTACGCCTAGGTGTTGCCACCAACAACGAAAATATAATAAAGACGAAGGTGTGTGTCAACGAGCGCCATACCACTAATGCGTGACAATGTCGCCAACAACGCATTTTGCTCATGTCTGCAAGCAACTTTTTTGTTTCTATTTATTGCTCGCATGAAGCCGGATAAAGGCATATTTACTGCCTACGGAGAAAGCCCACTGCAGCGATAAAGAAACATTCGACACAAACAGACCTCAAACAAGTGCACACGATGGTATCTTTGATAGTTGGCCAAATATGTATTCGATTGCATGCTACACTTGCTTGGGGCCTGTCGGTGTTGATTTTTTCTGTTGGTCACTCTAGTGGGACTCCGGCACAGTCCCACTTCAGCGTCAAACAGCAACAACCGACAACAACCAACCCTGAGTACGCACGCGAAAGAATCTCTGGCAGCATTGCGATGACTCGATGATCGTGAAATAAGCAGGACTAATCGCAAGCCTGCCGAAGATACCTTCGCGTGATGCCGTAGGTTCTTGAGGTTGATAGCGAGGCGCAACACGTGAAAGGATCTCGTCTCTCTATGCTGGAAAAAGCGGTGGAGAAACTGCATCGTGACGTCGCCGGTGGGAGGAGCCTAATTTCCATCGTCAACAAACTACATCGGAAGAGAACTGCACTGTGACGTGTCCGGTGACGTCGCCAAACTGTGTCGATTGAGTTGAAACTACATCGTTTTTTTTTCTCCCTACAGGAAATTTTGGAGAATCGCCAAGTGGGCTAGCGCACACCAGCTCGGAGCACGTGGAGCGAAAGCTCACACTCCAGAACCCAGGGACCCTGGGTTCAATCCCCGCCCTTGCCCTTTTCGATCTGGATGAGCATCGTATCGGCGTGCGCTCGTGTATTACTACTGCGTGACGCACGTTAAAGACCCCAGGGCCGGTTTGCTCATCTTGCGGCTGCGGACGCGGCCGCGGCCAGGAGGGATTTTTACGTCACGTGACCAGCTCCATAGGGACAAGGAAGTACCTAGCGTCCCTGCCTAATGGCGGAGAGATCCGCATCGCTTCAAGCACAAAAGCCTAATTTCGCTCGCAGAAACTGATTGGAGGGACTTTCAACTGGAATCTAATTGACCGCCCTTTTATACTCTAGGAGCGGCAGGTAAAGTTACGGCCAGGGAGGGCAAATAGGAGCCAAAACTGCAGTTTTTATTAGTCCTAAATAGGCGTCTCTTGTTATTGAAAGGAATCGTAGGAAGAGAGTTACTTGAAAACAGATAAAATTGTAAACGCTGGGGAAAGGATGCTTGTTTCGGCTCCGCTTGTGTGAAAGCCATACTGATGTTGTTAGCTTGGTTTCCTTTTAATGAACATTACGAAATGATTGCATTAGCGCGTAAACTTGCGTTGATCTTTTTTTTCTTCTTCCCGGTGTTTCGATTGAACAGGTGGGACTAACAGTAAAAGCGTGTAAGGCGCAGTAGTGCAAGTGGATGATTTCCAAAAAAGGATCACAGTTCAAAAGTAAGACACGCGCAAAATACAAAAAAAAAAAAAAAAAAAGAAGTCCCTAGCGCGATTTGAACCCGGAACTTTCACGCCGCGACGACGAGTACCGGCGCTTTAACCTCTCGCCCACAACAGAAGGCGCGAGGCGCGGCGCCGGCGGAGGTATATAAAATACTGCTACCGCTTTTATCTCGTGTGGTTTTTTCTTTATTTTGGCTCCTATTTGCCCTCCCTGGCCGTAACTTTACCTGCCGCTCCTACAGTATAAGAGGGCGGTCAATTAGATTCCAGTTGAAAGTCCCTCCAATCTGTTTCTGCGAGCGAAATTAGGCTTTTGTGCTTGAAGCGATGCGGATCTCTCCGCCATTAGGCAGGGACGCTAGGTACTTCCTTGTCCCCATGGAGCTGGTCACGTGACGTAAAAATCCCTCCTGGCCGCGGCCGCGTCCGCAAGATGAGCAAACCGGCCCAGGCTAGCGGTCATACTGCACTGGCTAAATTGCTTATCTACAGTGGGTAACAATGTCGCCATGTTCACCTCCTGCTGTATAAACAACTAACGACAAATTTGACTATTCCCCTCGTGATGCACGAGGGGAAAAAATGTTCCTTCGGGTGTTAAGTTTTCGGTGAAGTAGGAAGCAAAAAAGAAGAAAAGAGAATATTTCCCTCAAGTTGGGTTCGTAATAGAAGAGGAGGAAAAAGAAAATCTGCTGTTAGTCCCACGGTGTGTATGGTCTTTTCTTTATGTGTATGTTTATTCTAGTTCAGCTGGCCTTACCTGAAGTAGTTGCTTTAAAATAAAGTATATCTCTCCCTCTCTCTCTCTACCTGAAGTATGAACGAACTAGCTCAACTTAAGCCTGTTACCGTTGCTTGCTTGGCTTTTCGCTCAGCCAAATCGCTTATATTGGGTGCACTCAAATGAAAACACAATCGTGTTGAATCGCGTAAGAGTATTTAGAATATTTATCGATCACGCCGCTGAACTTGCATCGCTCGAAGAACTTCCTTTTTGTGAGCGCCTTCCCTGCTTGAGTTCGTTGGAAACACAGCCACTTCGATCCGTGGCAATCGATGATAGCATCGGTGACATCAACAAGTTTGCGATTCACAGAGCACTGGTGAACACTAATGTTTTCCTCGCTTCCGACGGTTCCCTGGAAGCCGCCAGAGCTGTAGAAGCGTACAGCTGCGAGGACTTGTTGTTCGACCGTCAGCACACGGGGCCCTTCGCGATGCCGCTAGAGCTTTCCGCGAAGCTGGACGCACAGCCAGCGAGTCACCCCTTTGGTCAGCCGGTATTCGACCACAAAGCTCGCATCGCTCGTCTCGAAAGTATCCCGGTTATCTCTAAAAACTCAATCCGCTGGCGAACCCAACAGTAGAGATGCATATGTTAGGGTCGCCATCTTTTACGATGCAGATTGATCTTCGGCTTCGTCTCGACCACTCAGTTAACTTCATCGTCAGTGCATCGTGACGACATCTTGACGTCACCACCAACTGCATCATTTTACGATCATAGCTCGAACTGCATAGGAAAAAACTAAATTTCAACGTAATGTCACGTGACCCGAGAGAATAGCCAATCAGTGCCCGATGCAGTTTTATACATCATTTAGTTTGCGACCCAGCATAGATAGACCGATTTCGATCTCTTCGGCTAATGTAGGTGGCGCGAGATCTCTAGCGGAGCGTTCGCTGTGTTGCATGCTGATGGTGAATTCGGGTGGTCGCCTCTCTCCTCTGACCTCGATTCAGCAGGGCGCCCCCTCCTCGCCGCCAGAGCTACTCGGGACCCTTTTCAGCCGATCACAACTGCTGGCTTCAGAGCGCTCCGAGATTCTCAGACCGGTCACGGAATTAAAATTTCTGGACATTGGTAATGCATTAAAAACAACACGATCTTACAGCGTACGGTGGACGATTGAGCAAAATTTACGCTCGCAACGTGATGAAATAACGGTTGTGACGTAAATTGTTTTACGCATCGGCATGTAAAAAAAAAAAAAAAAGAATAAGAAAACAGTAGTATGCGAATTGATTTTTGCAGAACGGAACGAAAGCCAACGCTTGGAAGCAGCTATCAGCTCATCGCGTTTTCGACAGTGAACGCGCTGCGATAGCGGTCATGCGTACAACAGGGCAGGCAAATATAAAATGGTTAATAAACCGCATTTTTCTCACGGCGATATATCGATCAAGCATCGCAATGCGACACAAATCACAGTGCATTATATTCGGCTCTCCCTTTAATTTACTATACAAACCTTTGAACGCACTTTTACCAAACCCCATAATTTCTTGAGCGACCACAAAACCCTGTAAAACAGCGGCGAGCTCTGCGAGCTGTTTCGTCGTCGGTTAGGCTTAGCGGATTTACCGCCGTGAGATGAACGATCTCGTGAAAGCGCTGAGAATACTTCACACGTGGACTTTTCTTGTTACACGGTCACAAACGAATGTCGTCCCGTCCGTTATAATCCTCGCACCGTCGAGTGCACAAGCACTTTGTAGAACCACATAGCAATCGCCGTCATGCCGTACCCCGCACACCACCACAGACCGCTGCCGGTCATCGTCAACAAAACCACGTGATCACCGTCCAAGTACCACGTGACGCCTGCGCCGCTCCGCACTCCGACGGCTAGAGACGGAGTGCCAGAGAGCGCTCTGAGAGGGAGAGGCGCCCTCGGAATGAACCACCCGATTAGGCCACAGCACTCTCTTTCAACCACCCGATTTCGCGCGCTCTGGATAGAGCGCTCGAGAGCGCGCAGAAAGAACCACGCGAATTCGCCATGAGTTACAAGCCCCCCTCCCTGGTAGAGCGTACCTGTCCGCCTTCTGTCTTAGTGCCTCCGAGGTACTGGTTCAGGGAGTCCACCTCTTCAGGTGGTCCGGTGATGAGCGAAGTGCCCGTGTCCGCAATGGCTTCGCAACCATCCTTGCACAGCAACTCCGGTACCGATTTTGAGGCGCTAACCGACTTGACACTGCAGTAAGAAGCTGAGCTTAGCCTTTCTTTCTGAACAAATCAAACTGGGCGTACAAAAACAAGCCAGACTAAAACAAAAAAATCTGAACGCGTTTGGATGCAGAATGGGTGGGGGCTTTGTATGCAAATAATATACCTATAGGAGCCACTGAAGTGGCTTCTAGCTTGTGAGTCATTTTGATCTGAATATTTCAAATTAAATTGTATTTCGTGATTTTGTTTATTTATGCGTTAGCTACATCGCCCGGGGGGCATTACAGTAAACAAAAAAAGGGGGGGGGGGCATAAAAAATACACAATATAGCAACATTATAGAAAACATTAAAAACAGGAATACAAAAAGTTATAAAAAGAAACAGCAACGTCGTAACAATATTATTTAATTAAAAAAACTCACAATTACGCATGAAAGTATTATCACTGATTTTTATTTTAATCAAGGGCCTCGGAGTTTTCTCGCCCTTCCAATTAATGAAGTGCGTGTGAAAATGAGCACTGTTAACTATGGGTAGCATTTAGTGTATTTCCTCGGACTTATTATTTCTATATAATCTATTTGCCGTCTGCCGGCTACAAAGGAAGGAAGGTGAAGGGAATCAAGAATAAACTTACAAAGAAGAAAGGCAATCGGGTATAAATACATATTAGTAAGCAACGTAAACGTGGTTAACACATCGACCAGATAATGCTATAGGGTGATTTCAGATAAGATCGACCAAAGGGTGGCTGGTCGACATTTTTAAATCAACTGATGTTTTTATATGACATTGTCTAGTGTCTGGTATAAACGAATCCACACTTAGTTTTGACCAGAAAAAAAATTTGGAGACAAGAAAAATCGTAAGGCAGGGAGAGGTGGACAGTTGCAATAACGCGCACTGATGGAGGGGGCAAGTTTGAAAGTGAATAATTAAAACAATACAATTAGGAGAATTTTAAAACTTTTTACAAACAAACTGTGGGTACAACTTGCTTGTAATATAAAGTAATGATATTTATTAAAAATTTATTTAGTTTTCTAAAAATTGCCAAACATGCCTGCTCGAACGACAAATGGCAAACTTTGGAAATCTGTATCTCATGAAATAATTTAATCATTATTACATAACTTGCAGACATTATTTTACTAATATATGGCTATTATTGAAAAAATAAATAAGGTATCTGAGTGACACAATAGTTACAATATATTTAGGCAAACATGGGAAAAAAATCAAACAAAGAAAAATTCCAATGCGAATAAAAAAAAACACCACCTTCGATTTTTTTTAAATTTGGGTACCCTGTTATACTCTATTTCGGCATCCATTTCTATTAAAAACATGTTGCATCATTGCACTGTGAAAGAAGAAACAACTCCCCAAAGTAGGGTCCTTTTTCAAAGCCTACACTTAGCAGTGTCCTATACAAGAAGTGACTCTGAGTTCCAGTTTCATGAAACTTGCACAAATCTTTTATATACATTTATTCAGATGAAGTCATTGATAAAAAGAGCGATCGGTCACACAGTAAAAGGAAGGAGAAACTATATACAGCATTTTACATAAGCGTACAAAGTGGTATCATATTAAAGACTAATGATTTGAGAAAAGATGATGCAGTGTGAAGTTGTACCTTCCGGTATATTTTACATCTAGAGTAAAATAAATAACTTTACTTCCACACACAAAAACAAAGATATAATAGTAAGATATTTAGGTTGGCTGTGTATTTACGATTACAAACAATTTCAGGTGACGGATGCCATAGTGCCTAACTGGAGCAGCTTCGATGCTCTCGGTGTATGAATGAATCGTGGCAAGCCGATATATTTTATCCTGCTCGAGGATAACATTTTGGGATTTTTTTTTATAGTGATCAGATAAAAATTATTAGTAACCACCAACAAAAACAGTAGGTTAAATACCCCGTGAAGAAAAATGTGATAAATAAGATGTCCCTGCATTCAAAATGAGCAGTCCTTGGGAAATCAAATTCGGCACTTTACGCTAAGGTTTTCCTCGCTGTACCCATTTAATAAAGTTGCTTCCAAGCAGATCCGACTGTCCGTGCTACATATACGTCACAGGTCCCTTCTGTTGATGACTTGCTGAGCCGCCATGCGTGCCAAGACTGAATGCCAGGGAAGGCGCGCACCGTCAGCCACTCTTCTTTTTTTTTTGTTCACGATACCGAACAACCTCATTTTCGTCCAGATATACAAGATGCACGCCTTTCAGTTTCTTTGATAGAACGCTCACCATTGTCCTGGCCGTCTGAATTGCGCTTACTGAACGTTCTCTCAGGTTGTTCAGCGTGGCCTGGTGCTTCACGAGTCCGCCAACTCCGTCACGTGCATTTTTCCCATGTCCAGATGCAGAAAATAACCACTGGGCTTGTGGGCAATCGTCCTTTGCAAATTGGTGAAGCTGGTAGCGATTCTTGAAATGACTGGCGGCGCCGTCACTTACGTACGTCACGTACGAGTATACCGCAACGTTGTCTTCAACCCACTCCTTCACTTTTTCTAGAGCCAAGCAAGCGTGAGCGGCGTCGTGACACGGGTCCTCACTGATGATGGCAAAGCTGTTTGTAGATTTTCTTGTCGTCACTACACATGTAAATATCGAAACTTGTTTTTTTTTTCAGTGATATGCTTGCACTTCGTCAGGAAGCACGATGGTCCAGTTTTCAGCAAAGTCAAAATGAAAGACAATGCTCCCGCGTTGCATGCACTGTTTTTCATCGTAGATCGCTTTACCTTGCGTTGGCCGGATATGGTTGTGAAGTACCCAACTTCCAACCGTCACTTGGATGACTTTTAGGAAAGTCTCAGGTTCCAAAGTTTTTTTCACAAGGTCGCCGGACTCCCATGTTGCAAGCACAATCTCTTCATCCTCCGGGATATCAAGTTCCTGGAGTGTAAGAAACTGGCCTTTTGGGCAGTGATCACAGTCTCCTTGAAGGCACAGTTCTGTTGCTGGGTCGCACAGAAATGCCGAGTTCATTTCACCAGTGTTGAATGTTGAGCCTGTAACGTTCTCTAGAGCGGCAATACAAAGATAATAATTGGCGCAGCGCACACAAACGCACACTTCCTGGTGTGGAATACATTGGACCCATCTAGGGCGCAACGAATAAAATTTCGTTAGCCCAACGCCGGAATCGGGATGCTTGTCTTTGTATATACGGAAGGCCTCTCGTATTGAGCGTGTCATGAAGCGCTTTGGCACGAACGTTTTCTCTCCGTTGAGCATGACAGAGATGACGTCCTTCTGGTTGGGACTTTGGCGCGAACATTGTAGCTCGTCTTTCGTGAAGTACTCTAGGGCAGCAGACAGGTTCTCAGGGCTCACCTTGCACCTCGTGTAAGGATCCGGCTCATACCACACGCCATGCTTTTCCTTGAGTTTTCGGGATTTACTGATGAGGTACATTGAGGCCTGTGGAATCATCTTTTGAACCTCATTCTTTGTCAGTGTTGACGGCAGGAGTGTAAGCAGTTGTCAACGTTCCCGGAGAGAGGTGGCGGTTTCAAAGGCCTGCCGAAAGTTGTCCACCCACTCAGTGCATGTGGAGCATGTTGGTTCGGACGACCCCGATGGTGCGTCCCTGTCGTACGCAATACGTAGCCTTGAGCGTATATTCTTGACAGCAACCTGCTCCAGTTCTGTCTGCCTTCTCTTGACATAGGCAGGCCTGTCCCGACTTCTTACGACGCTTGGTTGTCTCAGCGGCGACACATCTGTAGGTAGTATGCTGCGATTTAGATCTTCAATTGCTTCTTCAGCTGGCACAAATATGTCAGGGCACTGCTCTGAGCTTCGCATCGAGATCTCCTTAGTGATGTGCATGAAGCAATGGTAGCACAGGTAGTCCGTCGCACTCACTTTGGTGGAACAGTCAGGCGGAAGAATTTGCTTCAACGAGTTTAGGTCCAACTCGCCAACACTTCGAAAATTCCGCTGCTTTGGTATAGTCTTTTTGTGTTTGCAAAAGTAATCTGATCAAAACACTCGTTCGGAGCTCCAGGACGTCTTCATAATGTATACATAAATAATAGAAATTAAACCCCAACTGATGGCATATAATTGCCAAGTGAAAGAACTACTGGGTGCACAAGTGACAAGTCCGAGGCTGAGGAGCTCACTCACTGCAAACGTACATTTGAAAAGAGAGGTCACAACTGAGGCTGTCGGCAAAGCTTGATCCACGTCAAAGGAAGAAAGAGGGAAAGTCTCCAGACAAAAAATTGTGTTCAGCGGCCTTCGAAAAAGACTTTCCGGAATCGCACTGTCGTCCCTCCACGCGCTGATATGAAAGCACCCGAGCTTCTACCACGTGGTTCATGACACAGCCTGAGCCATGTCGGCGACCGGTTCGCGAGGGGTTGGCGGTGGGGTTACGTTGATGGTCACTCGGATTAGCCCTTGCTGTACTGAGCTACCGCCTGCAGTGCCTTATCGCCGGCTGGTGTCAACAACGAGAACACACACACCCTGTCTACACCAAAACTACAAGCGTTCACCGCACACGCGTCGCCGCCGCTTTTAAGCTTTTGTGAAATTGCTTTCTTTTGCCGCGGAGAACCGCCTTATCTTAACTACGCGCCTGAAATCCTTCCAGGCGGGCGTACACAATATCAAGCGTTTCGAGAAATGCCCGTGGAGTAGAACTATGGGAAAATTCGGAGCCCGCGATGTCGATATCGTCGCCGTTGTGTTAGTACGCCGTCGTGTACTGCAGTCCCCCGTTGGGGGAGGGGGGGGGGGGCGGTCTTACTACGATAACATGGCGACAGCGTTTACACTCTATGTATTTACGCGAGGCTCGAGTATTTGGGGATAATGCTGCCGGTTGGTGTGCCCCTTTGTGCCTTATTATCGCCCGTGACGCCAGCGAGTGAGATGGCGACAGGCATGACTGCTCAGTAAACAGGCGTCGGCGGCCATGTTTTGCTGGTTGAAGCGAACCCCCTTGTCCTTGACAGCGAGCGGGGAAATGCGAAAAAAAGATTGTATCGGCCGTTTTGCCAGAACTAGCGACGAGTGTCGTCTGCGGTTTCCGGCAACTATTTTGCCATAATCGTGAGCTTAGCGAGGAAATGATTTTTGCTATCCACAGAACACTACCACGCAGAAAGGGAATGCTTGAACATGTTTTTGTTCTGGATATATATCAGGGATATATATGAGAGAGAGAGAGAGAGAGAGATGAAGGTAGAGCGGAAGAGGGAATAGCATATAGTGTCGCAGGAGAATAAAGTAAACAAAGTTCCTAGTGGCCGATGGCTGCATGATCTTTTCTCGGATCACTAGTCCGTAATATGATACCTCTTTGTACACAGTAGTTTCTCCTTAATTTAAGTGTGTGAACGATTTCTTTAGTTATCATTGGCCTCATCTGAATAAAAATATATAAAAGATGTGTGTTGGTTTCATGAAACTGGAACTCAGAGTCAGTTCTTGTATAAAACACTGATAAGTGTAGGCTTTGAAAAAGGACCCTACTTTGGGGAGTTGTATCTTCTTTCTCAATAAAATGATGCAACATGTTTTTAATGGAAATGAATGCCGAAATAGAGTATAACAGGTTACCTAAATTTAAAAAAAATCGAGGGTGGTGTTTGTTTTTTATTCGCATCGGAATTTTTCTTTGTTTGATTTTTTTTTCCATGTTTGACTAAATATATCCTAACTATTGTATCACACAGATACCTTAGTTATTTTTTAAATATTAGCTATACATTAGTAGAATAATATCTGCAAATTATATCATAATGATTAAATTATTTCATGAGATACAGACCTCCAAAGTTTGCCATTTGTCGTTCGAGCAGGCATGTTTGTCAATTTTTAGAAAAATAAATAAATTTTAAATAAATATGATTACTTTATATTACAAGCAAGCTATACCCATAGTTTGCGCCTAAAACGTATTAGAGTTCTCCTAATGTTATCGCTTTAGTTATTCACTCTCAAACGGGCCCCCTCCATCAGTGCGCGTTAATGCAACTGTCCACCACCTCATGCCTTACGATTTTTCCTGTCCCCAAGTATTTTTTCTAGTCAAAACTAAGTTTGGATTCGTTCATACCAGACACTACACAATAACATATAAAAACATCAGTTGATTTGAAAATGTCGACTAGCTATCCTTTGGTCGATCTTATCTGAAATCACCCTATATCGCCGTGCGCGAATAGCTGACTGTGCAGCGCGCTCCGCTGGCCGGGGCTTTATCCCCGCCAGCGCTTGCCCTTTTTGTTTTATCTTTCTTCTTTCTTCTTGTTTGCATGACTGTAATGTTCCAGTTGACTCAAGAAGCTTCTTGTTTTTTCGAGCTCGGAAACTTCTAATACCCTTAATTGCGCTTAGAAAAGGAGCCTCGCTTGGCTGCTTGAGTCAGTCGCCATTCTGTCGCCAAAGCACAGTCGTTGTTACTTTTTGTTTCTCGGCACAAGTTCACCGCATTAAACGTTTTCACATAAAGTTTTGTTAATCAAGTTTATGTTTTTATTCGTGACAATATTACTAATTTTCTGCGCTGGCCACGGACGTGGCACATGTTTGCAATCGTGGGGAATCGCACCTGGATATATTCTTAATGGACACAAAGCAAATCTGGAGATCTGCGGGGGACAATACGCTCACCCGTCCACGTGGAACTGCCAGTAACCCTTGGCCGTGACGGGGACGTAGGTGATGCTGCCCTTGTAGTGATCGTGGTCGATGCCGCCGAACAGGATCTCCCCACCCTCCTTGCTGGAGGGGTCCCTGCGATCGGGGCAGGACGGAAAATGAACACAAGACGGAGCCAAAATTAGTTTCGCAATCTTCCTGCCGGATCGATCTTAAGCGTTTGCAACGGGAGAAGTGAATACAACGAAACGAGCTTCCAGGTTTAAGCGCGCAGAAGCCCAGAATCGAGCCATTATCGACTCGAAGCCCTGATCCTACGTTCCCCTAAAAAGGAAACAAAGAGTAGTGGAGGGATGTAGATAGAGAGTCCTTCGATGAAAATCCCATCTATTTTAGCTTTGTGTGCCGATTGAGTAACGGCGCTGGCACTGGTGGACGTACGCGAGTCTTGCCAAGATTAATAGTGGATCTTGCCTATGATCTGATTAGTGGAATGGAGTGCCGAAAAATTACGCAGCTTTTACTGGAATATCAGCGTAAGGAATCACGCCCCACACGGGGAAGCGAGTGCCGGAACCTGCCTAAATGTCACTGGCGAGTGGCAACAGCACTCGTATCGGCACGAGGAGCTTTCTTTTCCGGTCGTTTTGAGTCTACTATTAGCGGCGAGCTGTTTTCGTGGCGCCCTCCTATGGTTTCCTCTCGTGACGTCATTACCTTGCGAACAACAAGTTCGACGGCGTTTGTAATTAGCATGGTGCAAGCTTGAAATTCTTGCGCTCATAAACGAACACTGCCAACACCGTCGAAATTGAAGTTCTTACATTCCTCTTATTTCTGTCGATGAGACATCTTTTGCTGACGTCATAGTCAACATTCGGGCAATCGCGGAAGGCCGACCATAGCGACGCTTTTGATCGCGCACGTCGCCAATAGATCAGCTTTGGCACGCCATAGGTCAAGTGGAACACAATTTCTACTTTGGGATTTGACGATGCAAACTAAGGAGGTCGAGAAGATGAAGTAGCTTCCATGAGGGGATTCATTATGGTACTATCGGGGACAAATGAAATGCGAACAGAGGAGCGCGTGGCTCGCGGTACATGCTGCGCCGCCTGGAAGTGAGCCTAGGAGCGAGGGTGCGTGGCCTACTCCGACGTGTTCACGCCCCTCCCTCTGCGCTCCCCAAGCTTCAGCAGTGCGCCTCTTACCGCTCATTCACACTGGAAGCGGATCCGCGTTCGCAAAGCGGTTGCGAACACGGTTGTATAAAGATCCAGTACAATTGCACGCGCACCTGAGGTCATCGAGTGCGCGTGCAATTGCACTGAATCTTTCACAACCGCGTTCGCAACCGCTTTGCGAACGCGGATCCGCTTCTAGTGTGAATGAGCGGTTCGTGCGCTGAAAGCTATCACCGCTATCTTTGCTGGCTCAGCGCGTGCGGTGCAAAAAAGCTCGCCGCACTCGCCGAGCAGGCAAAGATAGCGGTGACAGCTTTCAGCGCACTGAGAGGCGCACTGCCGAAGCTGGAGGAGCGCCAATCGTGGGGCGGGAACACATCGAAGTAGGCCACGCACCCTCGCCCCTAGGTTTACTTCCAGGCGGCGCAGCCTGTACCGCGAGCCACGCGCTCCTCTGTTCGCATTTCATTTTTCCCCCGATAGTACGTTTACACTTGCGGATCCGCTAGCAAATCCGCCCAGCTTTTGCCGCTGGGGCGAAACGCTGGGCGGAAAACGCGGCGGCGAGCCGTTTTGGTCCAGGACCTATTTCTGCCGCCGAACGAGGCGTTTCGCTGACCGGAAGTGACATTCTTGCGCGGCGCGACGCTGCCTACGTCACGAGTACGCGTTCTTCCGGGAGCATCAACGCCCGGGAGAGAGAGAGCCGAGGCGGGAACTCTCGCGCCTTCTCGTCATATTTGACGAGACGCTACGGGAATCGCTGCCGCAGCCGGCGCTGCCGCCACTGCTCGAAGGAAATAGATGTAAACGCAATCCGCTCGTCGCCGCCGCCGCCGGGAGCGGATCCGCTCCCGCGGCAGCGGATTTCTTTTCAAGTGTAAACACGACGTAAAAAAAAAAAAAATTAAGTTTTTTTTTTTTTTTTTTTATAACACGAAGGGTGTTGGAACTTGCTCGTTCTTCAGCGTTATTTTAATGCCTGTCAACCAGCTACCCTATTTGAAACGCGTGACCTCTAGTGATACAAAACGTTACAGCTACCAGATAATCCCTCAATACAGCGGCGGTTGATGTATATCACCATTTTTTTTATATTCCTGAGCAGCCCGAGCGCGTCCCCTGGACTGCTGTCCAATGGGCCATAAGTAACACAACCGGATAGTCGGAACGGCTGCCGCACTGATTCCTAACTGTACTCCCGCGTGTGCAGGCGTTGAAGGGGCATTGCAACGATATTAACGTTGAAAGAATTTGCAGTTTCTATTTTTTTTAAATGTTTATCTATACTTCGTTTCAGCTTAGCTCCAGACGCAGCCGACGCTACGTTGTAATGGGACCAATCAAGCAGACTCAAAATCACAAGTCACTAGGCTTTTTCTGTTTGTGACTGGTTCAGCATAATAGAACACAGAATATGACGAACACCGTGACGGTGCGTATTTCGCGCAGATTGGTTTCATCAGCTCATATAGCCTCGGGTGAGTATGGACATAAGGTGAACTAAAGTATAAATACAAATACGAAAAAAAAACAAACGCGCCACCACCTTCTGGAAAACTGATATTCTGCTGCGTAATCGCAAAGAACAAAAAATATTTGCCGATTTGCAGCCGCTTGTAGCGGTTACGGGAACTGCGGCGGCGCGTCACTGGAGGATACGCGGAAGTCAACAAAATCTGTCCCCCCTCCGCTGCCGCACTCGCCGTCAGCAGCACAGTGGCGAACCGTCTATTGTGTCGACCGCTCGCCGGGACCTTCGGAAGGTAATGCTGATCCTTGAAAAGTCGACAATCGCGGAGGTAGCGGCTGGGGACTCTGAAGACAGAACCCAATGGGAAACCAGGCGGTCCCCCAGAGACGTCACTTGGAAGACGGCGTGAGAGTTGAAGGGCAATTTGACCTTCGATGTCTTTAATCTTTTTTAAATATAAACTAGCGCGCGCAAGAAAAAACGTTTTTCTGGTTTTTGTTCGAATCCAAATTGAAATTAATTTATCTTCCATTTCGGCATCAAAATTGGGGGAGACCGAGGAAAAAAGGTAACACAAATTAATTCCCGCAGTGAGTTGGCCGAAGTTCGAAAATCGCGACACTTCCCCTTTAACCCTGGAGAAGAGAGGGGGGGGGGGGGGGGGGGGAGAGAGAGAGAGAGCCTTCATACGGTCATATACTTCGTTTCAGCTTAAGTCCAGAGGCAGCCGACTCAGCGAGCTAATGGCCCAATCAATCAGCGTCAAAAGCGCAAGCCACTGAATCTTTTTTTGTTTATGACGTGTTCAGCGATGATAGAACACGTACAGAAATATGACGAACACCACGATGGAACGCTTTTGACGCTATGAAGCCTGAGGGTTTATTAATAATGTCGTCCTTAAGAAGAAAAAAAAAAAGATCGCAATGCTGTGCCTTTAAGATTATTCACCATAACTCATATCAAGAAGGCGTAGTGTGTCCGACATTGCAACACACAAGGAGAAAACGCAATACGAGCCTCCCGCGTTCGACGGCTCTCGATGGAGCTGGCAGACACCCCTCGAGCGAGTTGTTGCATGTTGCCTCTCGCGACTACATTAGTTGCCGCGAATGACACCAGTCGAGCGCTCGTCAGAGAAAGCCGCGCGTCCGCGTTTTGGCGAAGCGAGATTAGCACCGTACAGTTACGGTACCTACTACGCGTCTCCGACTGGTGTGTTTGCAGCGTCCAAAAAAAGTGGTCCCTAGATTTCCGCCTTGTGACGTCATAGAAGTGTCATACTGTTGCCGCTCGCGATCCTGGAGGTGTCCCAGCAGCGGTGGTGGATGGGGTAGACGCCTGTTGCAGGTCGCTCTCGAGTGTGAGGGTCCACGGAAGTTTTGGCAGCCGGAAGTTGGGACGCCGCGACGAGAGCGACGCTCGCGTCCGCTGTTACTTTTCGCCAGCATTTCTACGACCAACCGCCAGGATCGCGACATGCAACAGCATGACACTTGCGGCTTCTGTGACGTCATTTGTTGCCATTTATGGACCAATTTTGATGTATGGGCGCAGCATAGGACGCTAAACACACCAGTCGGAAACAGGCTCCAGGCACCATAGTATGTGCATATAGTGTTTATGATGTGCAAACACAACACAGGGCTTGTGCCGCACCGAACGAGCGCACCTGTTCAGGTAGACGGAGAAGACATTCTGCTCCCCAAGCAGACCCTGCTTCATCATGTTGTCGAAGACGGGCACTACTCCATCCACGGCAATGCTCGGGTAAGCCAGCCCCAGGATGCCGTCGAAGGGCGCTTCAAGCAGCGATTCTCCTCCCACCACTAGGGCTTCCCCCAGGGGCTGTCCGCTCACCTGCGTCATAAAAAATCAAGTGCAAAAATAATTTTCTTTTCTTTATTTGATATGCCTGGCTATAAGGTCACGCCGTGTTTACGGAGAGAACCTTTCTTTATTTATTTATTTATTCACATTCTTACGCTCCGCTCATATGACATTATTGTGGGTTGTTTATCGCAGTGGAATAGAACACCGAAAATGCAGGGAGGGAGACAAAGAAATAGATCGAAGAACGACAAAAAAGCACTATCCATGCACAAGCAGTTGTATCAATGTTTGCCGTTTCAAATAAAGGAAAAAAATACTAATTACGCGAGAGATTAGTTAAGCGATCCAGCAAATAGTTGCGATCAATTGCAATTATGTAAACAACGCCAATTGAAATATTTACGCAAACACAAAAGAAAACAAGGCACTGAGTATGCGCGTTACATTGTTTGGAAATGAAGCGATAGCTCTTGGTGGCTGTTACCGTACTTGTAGCGGCGCCTTTTGAAATTACATTTTCTCTGTCCTCAGGTGGCGACACAGAATAACAACGACCTCAATTCAACGACTAAAACAATAGCACTGAGAAGCCCAATGCCCACCGAAAGCATATATTTTCGTCCAGTCTTCACATGCATACTGGACATATTTTGCGCATGGTACCTATAAACTAATATATACCTGGAATATTTTGCGATTGTAGCGAGCTCGGACTCTGGAGATAGCTCTGAAATGCGATGGCCATTTACCTTAGCGCTGCCGATCCGACATACATCTTTGCTGATAAATCCTTCGACATTTCCTGATCCGTACACTATGGTGAAATTGCGACCGTCCGCTTCGTAGGTACTGGATTTGCTGCTGTCGTATCTGTGGTGGTGCACTGAAAAATGAGAGAAACCGACAAAGAAAGATCTCGATGTATCGTGGCGACTAGAATGTGAACAGTAAAAAAACTCCTCTCGTGGTGAAGATTGCTGCCTATCATACTATCAGCGCCACCCAATGGACACAGATAACGTTCTTCTCAAGAAGGAAGACGGCAATAAGTTAGTAAGCAAGACAAAACTCGGCCGCCCTTTTTTTTTTTTTTTTTCTTCCGTACTTGGAGCGTGCGTGAAGCTTAGCGGAGCGTACGCTTGTCGGCATTGATATTACATGAAACCACTAAGGACCAGAGAGAGACAGAGAGAAAGAGAGAAAACTTGCAAAAGAGGAAATACTAACGTGGGAGTTACAGCCAGGGGCCGAGCGGTCATTGTAGGACGTGATAGAGGGTAATATTTGTAGAACTGTTCTTATCAAGCCGTAGTCATCACTGCTAATATACATCGTACACAAGACGGCCTGAATACACTGTCTGGGATCTTCCTTGTGTGACGGTCACATTAGTGGTCACAAGAGCTGTCTGCAGACGGGTTCCAAGCATACATGCGCATGTGGCAAACATGCTTCGCACATGTGTGTCATCATGGCTCCAGCGAACACCGTGTCTTTTGCCTGATGTACGGGCAGGGAGACTGAGGCTTCGGAGGTCTCATAGTGCGGACGTTGAATATTTTGTGGAAACATACTTACGACAGTACTTTGTCGTGCACTTCGAAGACGGCAGCCAAAGGTTAGCAGAACCGGTGTCGAAAATCACCTGGAAGTCTTGGGGCGGGGTCCCGATTGTTATTGGACCGTAGTATTCCACCTGGGGATGACCACGCGATACACTTTGGGGGGAGGGGGGGGGGGGGGGGGTATACCGCACGCTGTGCTTCGCAAAGAAATCAACTTCGATTAGCGCGATGCGTAACAACACAGTGGACGGGAACGAAGATTCGAAACCAACTGATGTCTGTTTCAAGCTCTCAGAAGGCGCACACTGTTGTCTTGGCAATATAATGTTACCATAATTGCGAAACATTAGGCGCTATAAAACTACGAGAGATGCAAAGATTGAGCGAACTAGTTAAAAAACAATATTACAAACACATGCGAGTAGAGGAAACAATTTATGCGATGGTATGCTATTGCACTTAAGAAAACGTTCGAAGCAATAACGAAAATAATAGACAAAAAACACAACTTCGTATATGTAGAAAATGAGAAAATAAGCCAGTTACTCAAAGCCCTTTGTTTTTCACTCATTGTCCTATTTATATATTTAGACAACTAGAATATATTTCAAAGCAAGACGGAGTTACTCAGGGGAGATTTTGCTTGAACTGTGCTGGCAAAGCAGTATACAAAAGTTACAAAAGCATGTGTAGGCGTTGTACTTTTTGACGCAGCGTGTGGACGTGCATTTTAAAAAAAAAATATATATATATATGTGAAAAGTAACACGAATAAGGACAGATTTATTTACTGTTAAGCGTATTCAGAAGATAATTTCATACGCGCCGAAGCAAAACTTCCTCATCAAGATGTGCAGGGAAAGAAGTAGATCAAGTATAATGCGTTTGCCACGAGAAGGAGAAACTACCGATACTTTGATGTGGGCCTTCAAACAAAAGATCTGACCCCGTTAAAAAACAACAACAGCAACAATAAGCAGACAAGTTTCGGGTTGTTGCGTTCAACGGAACTAGCTTCTGCGCTGTATGTTTTGGCCACGAAGCCAACGTTTCTTCCCCTAAGAACGGCCTTCTGCTTTTTCAAAAAATTCACAAATTTTGAAAAAAAGAAGAAAAAAGAAAGAGAGACCGTTTAAAAAGAATTTCTCATTTTTCAACCCGCGTACTAAACGGAATGGTAAGAAAAACAGTAACTGACATCGAGTAAGTTGACCAGTGGCTCCGGATACGGTCCTTCGTGAATCAAGATCCCTTCCTCCGCGAGTTGCTTCCGCACAGACTTGAATCTCGTGAGCGGGATCCTGCGTGGGTAAACCGACAGACATCAAAAAGGAAGGAAAAAACAAAACAAAAAAAGAGATGACAGAGAGAGAGAGAGAGACAAGTCCGGCTGATTACGTCATCGTTATTGGACACGTGACCCGCCCCCAAGCGGCGAGCACGCCGAAGCTCTACGGGGGTACGTGGCGAAGCGGGAGACGCGTGCGCCTTTGCGTCGCCACACGCAAGCGTCGGCGTCGTTGTAAGACGCTGCAAGGCGCGCTTGCGGTGATGGGGACGTAAGATAGGAGACGCTTATGGAATCCCATTGGGGTGACGTCAGGGCAGAAATGGCTCATACTTTGGCTTCTAGGTGGTACTGGTCTGTCTCTAAGTTGTTTACACGCTTCACTGACTCTAAGTCTCTAAGTCTCTGACTCTAAGTCTCTAAGTTCTAAATCAACCAATCTCTAAATTGATTACACGCTTCACTGACAAAGCTTCGTAAGACTTCGACAGAAAGGCCTTAATTCAGTTGTAAATACTTCTATTTTCCTGAAACAAATAGATTTGTTCTTCCTAGTTTCCAGTTCCCCCCCGCCCCCCCCCCCCCCCCCCACACACACACACACACCGTATGACGTAGGAAAAAACAACAACAAGGGGCTTGTGTTCACATTTTAAAGAGAACTTTCAACCCTATATGACTAAATGCTCGTTCTAGTTAAACAAGTTACCGATTCATGGTGTACATGTTTCGTTAGTTATGCATGGAGGGCTCCAAAGCGATAAAAACCAAGACATGTGCGGCGAATTTGATTTTTAGAATTATGGCATGGCGTGACGCACTTTCCTCTCGAGTGGGCAGCTCTCTTTGGGATCACCTTGTGTTATGCTGGGGGTGGTTTTTACAACAAACAGTCTTTCAAGGTGCCAAGTTCGCTGCTCTGTAGAGAATGGGTTTGGATTGTTTGCATTGTTCAAAATTTGGCGCTGCTCCATATACTAGGCCATCGTCACAGTTTCAATCATTGACAATGGACGAGAAAAAAAAAAAAAACGCAGTGCAAGCAGAGTTTTGAGATAGATAAAACTTCACAATGGGAGTATGAGTTGTATTCTGGCGTCCGGATTTTACTGATTAGCCAACTTTAGCTACTTCAGCAACGACTTCAGTACGTCACATTGTCAACTTGCCAGTTTTATAACGTAAATGCACAGTCATTCGTGCGGAAAGGGAGCATCGAACGGCCGGTGGTTAATGCTGAGAAGTCGCTTCCAAAACTAACAGTTGTATATATAAAAAAAAAAGGTTACGCATTGAAAAAAAAAATCTTTCTAAATTACATGTTTTTTTTATAACCATCACATAATATAACTGCAACCGGGACGACTCGTGAAATTCAAGGTTCCTTGCTACGTTTACACTGGCTAGAGCCTGTAAATGTTTGCTTTCTCACTACTTGTTCTTTAGTGGTTTCGTCATTATTTTAGGCGTTTTACATTGGTACCGTGACAAAAAAAAAAGCCAATACATAAATTTATTTTGCTACATTTTAAGCCATCATGTACTTAACGGATTGTCACCCTTTTATATGGCAGATTCAAACTCCCCATAACAGCAAATTGCTAAGCACTACC